TAAATGGTTATGATTCAGCACAGACTTCATCTTTACGGATGGGGATTGAGGCCACTGTAAAAACATTTTAGTTCCGACTTTAATCTCAGAAGTCTGACTGTTTAAAAATCATTTTTAAAGTCAAACTTCTGAGAAAAACGTCAGAACTCAAATGGGTTTTTTACAGCAGCCTGAACTCTCTTCCCTAAATCTTCAGCTTTAATTTTATCCCAACAGAAATTCAGTTTGCACACAGGAAATAAACACACAGGCACAGAATGATGACAGTTATTAGCAACAATTAACAATCAAGGACATAAATAAAATATATTGTAGCATTGGGGGCGGAGAGACATCTGGCGGATCCCCCATAATGCCCTTCTGGGTGCGTTGTATATAGTTCAGACTTGGTGGACTTGTTCAGTGTGTCTGGTTGCTGTTGTGTGTTCCCTGGCTGTATGTGTGTGACAATCAAAGAGAAAAAGACAATCTTCAGTTCCCTACAACAGACTTGGAAAAAATAACGAGGAAAAATAGAATATTATTGTAAAAAATAAATATACATAATAATAATAAACCAAATAAAGAAAAAAACAGAAACAGTACTAGCATTCAGGCCGGATGAAAATCAGTTCCTGTTTGGCCCAAAGAGAGTTCACATGGTTTGACAAAATCCAGTAGCCTGTACTGTAACTTGTTGCCTTTATATATATATGTATATATGTGTGTGTTTATATGTACTCGTGTATGTACACAGGTGACATTGGAGTGCCCTGGCAGAGATGACTCTCCCCATGTGGACAAACTGGTGGAGAGGATCTTCCACTGTAGCTGCCAGTCCTGCAGTAAGGAAGGTGCCCAGGAGGGGGCGGTGATGCAGCTGTATCCAGCAGACAACGGCCTGGACGTTCCATCTTTATCTGACACCCTCAGCGGGTCTCAGTCTCGCCCCCTGTCCCATTCAGATACACACTCTAGTAAGCATGCTCACGCACACATAGACCATCACACACTACCACATACGTCCAATGGAGGCTAAGTTTGTCACTTGTCACTTTGCTCCTCTCTTTCACTCTCTCTACTCGCCCCCACACTGTAGCGTTTGAACCAATCCGTAGTGTTGTAAAGGCACTTTGAAAATATGACTTCACTTTGTGTTAAAAAAGTTTCTCTAAAGACGCGGGCACACACACACACAAACACACACACACAATCATGCTATCAGATCACACTCTATTGTATATAAACTCTTACAAACATACCGACATGTGCACTCTTTGTTTGCTGATTAACATGTATGTGTGTGCATTTAGGTATCCAGACATGACTATAGTCTGCTAAGAAGCTGTAGTCTCATTACTTTTAATCTGTTTTGAAAACAATAAATTCTGTTGTTGTGATAACTGCCTGTTCATTTCACTGTTTCTAAAAGTGAAGCTGTTTCTTTATGATCATGTGAGTGTTCTGTGAATTTAGGCCATGGGATAATAAGAGACATCACATTTTAAATATTCGTGCTATAAAAATAAATATAACACCAACACTGAAACAGTTGTCTTGGTAAAACTGTTTCAAATTTTACACAGAATCAGCTGGTGATTAAACTTTATAGGTGCCTTTCTTAACAAAGATTTTAAAAAGTACTTTTCAGAGAGCAGAAAAAGAAAATAGCGGCACAGGAAATGCAAAAAATAGAATATGATGAAGACAATGACATTTAAAACTTTAGGAAATTAAAACATTAGAATGGAGGAGAATATAAAATTACCTGAATGGGAAAGTAAAACCTCAAGAAGCATTGAAAAAGCATAAAAGCTTTTTTTGTAAATAAAATAACATTTATAACTTTACATGTCTTGCAACTGGGACCTTAAAAGTTGTATTGTGGAGGCTGACATGGTGTAACTCATTACAGTAACAACAGATAGATATTGTGAACACAGAACACATACCTGATGTTGTAACTGATGATAGTACAGTTATTTACAATGTTGTTTTGCTAAATAAATGATCAAATAAGTACCTGATTATCTCATAGATAGATGGATAGATAGATAAATAGAGCGATTGATCAATCTTTTAACAGGGTTCACAGTCAGTTCTGCTTTTTGATCTGAAGTGCCAGTGGAAGATGCATTACCATGGCAACCTGCCGGAGGCTGTTTAGTAAATGGACGGTGAGTGACCTCCTACATGGCTCAAAGCTGAGAGTGACAGAATCAGAGGTGGACACACAAAGCTTGATGGGCTTAAAAGGAAACAAAGAGAGCATGTTTGGTTCACGGTGAACCAAGCTTAAAAAAATAACTATTACTGAACAGCACTTTGAAGTGACTGCTGAGGAGTATGGCAGTTAGCGCTGTCACCTCACAGCAAGAAGGCTCCAGGTTCAAGCCCGGGTGGACACTGAGCCTCGCTGTGTGGACTTTGCATGTTGTCTCTGGGTACTCCGGCTTCCTCCCACAGTCCAAAGACATACAGCTTAGGTTAATTGGTGACTCTAAATTGCCCGTAGTGTGTGTGGTTGTTTGTCTATATGTCAGTCTTGTGGATAGACTGGCAACCTGTCAGAGGGGATTGGCTCCAGCGACCCTATTCAGGAATAAGTTGTATAGATAATGGATGGATGGAAGTTCACTACCGGCCCAGCAGATGTCAGCAGATACAGGTAGAATCTACAAAAATGATATTTACTGAACTTCCTTCTTAACCTCTCCAGGCAACAAGTCAAACATCTTCCTGTCAGACCCTCTACAGCATTTTCCCTGTCCTTCATCACTCACTCCCTCATCTCTAGCTCCACATCCAAACTCTTTTCTGCCATTTCCAGTCAGCTCTGCTCCATATCCTCCCATCTTTTTGCTCTTCTTTTGTGTAATTAAATTTGAACCGTGAAAGGTTGACTGTCTATCTGTGCTGCAAAACACATCGATCATGCTCTTATCTCACGACCACACAGCTCACGAAGCTCGGTGGTTAGTGAAAAGCAGTCTGCATAGGGAGAAACTCGGAGGGACATTTGTGAACATCACAGCTTATTATCCTATATTACTGAAATTTGTTGATCAAGCTTTGATTTATTGTTTGGTTTATTTATTGGTTCCTTTGTAAACTGTATCTATGCTTTGTTTTCAAATGTATCATCCTTTGCCTGGTACAAAACACATTTAATTTCTTTCCTTATAATACCGCACATCTTCTGGTAGCGTTTTAGGTGTGTGACCCATGGCAGATGTACAAGAGTTGCACTCTTTACAGTGTGTGTGACTTCTATGGATTGATATGCAACCTAATCTATTGTCCCCAAACAAATGTTTGCATATGCAGACAACAAGACAAACAGGTCTACTGTACAAGCAGCTTTTACAGTAATTTAGCATAATCTATTCAAGTCATTATTTAAACACATAAAAATGCACCTCGACCAAACGGGCTCAAAAAATGAGCTATAATTTAGTTACTATTGTTAAAGGGTAACTTAATATTAGGCTAAAATGCATTTTTTCACTGTTGTCTTTGCTTAAAAGTTTCAAGTCATCATTCATAACATCTAAAAGTGTTGCCACAGTGCACTGACCTGGAGTCCAATCATGCCACTGGACATCAGCAAAAATAAGGTTTTATCTCCAGTTAAACTTACTCTTTTTCAAAAGTGTGTCAATAACAGCTTGGTAAGCCACACTTTCCCACTGGATCCAAAGATTTGGCCGCATAAATGGCTTTTACAACCATTTAGTGTAATCTATCAAATGTATAGAAACAGCAGCGCCTTTGACTAATGAAACAGAAATTGTAACTAATGGCTTACTGAGCACCATGTGCAAATGCTATAGCAGTTATAAGACAATTTATATACCAGGTTGTTAAAAATCACTTATAAATCATGGTGATCCAGTGCAGCCAGCAGTAAATGCATCCATTTTAAAGTATTTTGAAGAATCAATTAATCAAGCCTGCACTTTAAAAGGATTAATGGTTGTTAATAAATGGATTTGGGCTCTTCTGCTACCCTTTCCCAGGAGCAAGTGGAGCAACAGTCCACTGAAGAGGGCCATAACCTGGCAACCCAAAAGCTGTTCTTATGAACGTGTATGCTGTATTTTTATCTTATGCATAAACCATCAGTAAGTGAAACCATTGACTGAAAATATTTTAAAACTATTATATGGGTTGTGTGTTGTTAGAAGACGTATGGCATTAACGTAGAGACTTAATTCTTCAACATAATTTTGCTTTGTATGGGTGTGTGGAGATGTTCCCTTGTGTTAAAACTGCGAAACAAAAAACACTTTATTCTCAAAGAAAACTTTTTGTTGTTGGTTTTTCTAAAATGTAAAACGTTTTGCTGCCGCGGGAGCGCGCACTTAACTGGTAATGCGCGCTCTCTCGCTCGCTCCTTCCATCACATCACTTCAGCAGCGCAGGTGCTTTTCTATGCTGATGTGCTTTTTAAAGCTGGTATGTTTGTAAGTCTTAATTTTAACCTGCACAGAAACTGAGAGCTCCAGATCGATCACTGGGTGAAGAATTCAACAAACACAACCGGGAGATTGACGGGATTTGCACTTGGAGGTAGGGAACAAAATTCTCACTGCGGGCAGCTTGTTTAAAGACCTCTTCAGCCTATAGCTCTAATGGGGCTGTGACACTGTGTGCATGTTGTTTGATCAGTGTTCACGTACAAAAATCGGAGTGTCCATCCCAAAAATAACTAGAAACCCAATATAGGCTATATTAATTTATGTATGAAATATAAAAGAACAAAGTCGTAAAAAAGCAACGACATCATGATATAGACTGAACAAAACCGCATTGAGAGGACCAGGACATGTGTCCAGTCCAGTGTGATGTTGAACAGCCCTGGTCTGTGTCTCCAGCTCAGCGGCAGGTCCCTCAGGTTAAAAGGTTTCGGACTGATTCTGTTTAAAACCGATCGTATTGGCATGGAGTCCGGCTTTAGTGACAAAGCCCTGATTGATGAGATACTGTATAGATCGGAGGGGCCACGGGAAGACAAAAAGTGTGTCAATATGTGTGCGTGCGCCTGTGCGCATACAAAGTCAAAGAAGGCTATAGGTTCTTTATTTACATAGACTAATGAGTTACTGATGAGTTATTGACTGGAGGGCGGAAGAGGGCAGTGGGGACAGCGCTTCACTATTCTTATTTAAGGCTTCCAAATTCAGAAAGCAGCAAAAGTGAAGTACACATTTTATTTTTGTGGTTTAGAAATGGAATAATTCAGTGACAGTATTTTCAATGTATACACATCTGGAACTGATGTTTTACAAGCTTGCTCCAGACCCACAGCAACATTTTGTTCCTCCTCCTCTTATAATTATTATATCTATTTTGCATTAATTAAAATAAAACACTAACAAATCCAAGATTGTGTAAGGAATGGAGTCTGAATCTGAATAATTCACCATCTAAGATGTGTGTATACACACATATGTGTTAGATTTTATATTTATAAGTATTTTATTTTATTTTTTATTTGCCTAATGCTCATTCCTTTTTCTTGTTTGCACATTTTTCAGGATGTGTGGTATGGACGTGGACCTGGATGATGGTGGTTCAGGGGAGGAGGAGAAGGAGGAGGAGTTCTGGATTGGGGATGGGGTGAAGATGCTGCCTCCACCTGTGGCCCACAGTGAGGGCAGTGCATGGGGCAGCCGCAGGGGCAGGTGTGGATGCGTGGCCTGTGGAGCAGTTCTCATCCTTTGGAATGTGTGCATCGTCTTGCTCAGCGCCGTTCTCCTGGCGGCAGTGTTCTTTGTGGTGCTGCTGCCTGCAGTGCTGGTACTCTACGCCGGTTTCCTCTGCCATTCAAGGGTGAGTTGTCAGCGGAAATGTGTGCTGGGCTTAACAAATATTAACTCTATTGTTTTGCTCTTTTTTATAGCAGCGACAGCCTGAGAGGAAAGGTTTGCTGTTATTCTAGTTGACAGCTGATCCACTGATGTAATTTGAGGTTCAGAATTCAATTTAAGTTGTCAAGTTGCATCTGAGCTATAAAGATTGGTCAGAGAACGGTGGGCTGACGTAGCCAGTGATTCCCTGGCAAAGGGTCAAGATTATAATATTAGATACAAGGTGCTATTTTTCTAGAGGTAGGCATAACAATAGGCCTTTAGTACATTATGTGGACTAAGTTATGTGTGCAAGTTATATTTTTGCTGCAAATTCTGTACAAAGAGAATTTTCAGTCTGTTTTATTTAATATGTTAGTTTTCCCTCATTGAATTTGTAGCAAATGTGATTCTCAAGTAGACTAAAAGAACAACCATGCGTCTTGCAAATCAAGTCATTTCATAAGCAAACATAAACCTCTACATTGTCCTGATTTGTTGGGAGCAAACATATAGAGTAAAGTGTGACTGTTAAATTACTGTACAACTATACAGTACAGCAGGTCTTTGTGTTAATAGTGTTAATAGTCTAGAATATAAAGGCTACACTTGGTTTCCCTATGACCGTACAGATTTGTTTTGCAAAATATAGCAGCATTTCTCTGCATTGATTCTTTTCAGTAGACTGATCATCAAAATCTTGAATTGATATCCATCCATCCATTTTCTAAACCACTTAGTCCCAAACGGGGTCACGGGGGGCTGGAGCCAATCCCAGCCAGCTGCGGGCGAAAGGCGGGGTACACCCTGGACAGGTCGCCAGCCCATCGCAGTGAATTGATATCCCCTGGGAAAAACTAATCAGTGTGTTGGACATGTTCTTAAAGGCTTGATAACTGGGGCATCCCTGTGGCCTAGTGGTCAAAAATACATACCAATCTACTGTACACAACCTGCTCAGCACAATTTAACAACTAGCTGGTGAACACGGATGAGCGTTTAGCTGCTAAAAAGCCAGATATTTCCCTCAGAAGTTAACCAAAAACAGAGCTAAAAGGCGAGTCAGTACTGATCCTACATTTATGTCTGCTTATACTGTATATTGCTCTGCATCTGCTGGGGTGTGTAAGTAGACAGTTGTTTGCGAACATGTTTGCCATTTCAAGCTAAATGTGATGTCAGTGCTGTTTGCAACATGTTTCCACTGCCCCCAAGTGGCCAAAAAAATCCAGTTATTACAGGGTTATGAGGATAGCATTCTGCCCCAACATGATAACATGTTTGTAAATCATATACAAGAAGGAATCTCCACTACTCCTTTTTTTTAACTTAACTGATGGTTTGGACAAGTAAGGCCATGTTTTTTGTGTAGAGTGGGATGATTAGGTCTCATTAAGGCTAGCACGGCACTTGGAGTCTGTTGAAAGAAACAGACAATCACAGGCTTCTGGGGAAGTGCTCTTGGCAGCATTAAGTCCTAGGCTTATACCTGGCATCTTCTCCTCAAAGGTGTTCAGGCCTATTCTTCATAGCTGTGCTTTTTGCCTTTAATTGTGGACAACATCCAAAAAGATTATCACTAAACTTAAATGTTGAAGCTTGTTCCTTCTAATGAGGCAAAAAGACAGGCTCATTTTTTTTGTCGGAGGCTGGCAGATCATCAGTACTAGGTGGTGGGTCTAGCATTGTGTCAAATCATGCTGTGAAGACTCACAGCTCAGACCTTGGCTCACCTGACAGCTCATAATGTATACAGAGACCCTGGTTAATGTGGTTTCTGAAGGTGCAGCCATGTATGACAAAGCAGACAAATTAAGAGCATGCAAAGTGTGTGCCTGCGATGAGACTATAATCATGATTAGGGCAGAGCAAATGGCAGCTCAGAGCAAACAGTTGCAGATAATGTCAGTCAGAGATTTCTGTGGTGACAGCCTGAGCATGGAAAGAGGGACCCACTGAGAGAAATGTCTGACTTGGTGCCAGCACCAGCTGTGCACAGACACACTAACATGATGACAAAGAGGAAAATGTACTCACTGTAAGCACAGTGTGCACTAGACAGGGGTTGTGTCTCTGTGTCTCTGTGTCTGTGTGCTTGTGTGCGTTAAGCACTACGGTTGCTAGGGTACATTTGTAGGTGGCAAAGTTACTTTTGAAAAAGCTTACAATGGAACATTGTTAAGGGCTTCAGACACAAACAAATCATTCTGAGTGTGTTTGACAGAGAAAAAGAGATAATTCATTTGTGCTTGTAAGCCTGTGTTGCAGTCTTGAAGGCATGATCTGATCTCACCCTCGCTCTTTCTGTTTTCCATTCATTGTTTTATCTATTTCCTGCCTCTCTTTCTATGGTAATTCTTCCCCCCCAGCCTCTTCCTCCCTCTCATTCTACCATCGCAAATGATTGACAGCTAACAGGGTTACCAACTGCTCTGAGGGATTTTATTATCTGAACTGTAGACGGAGACTGGGAGAAACTCTGTCACACCCCACTACCCATACAGTCCCACGTCTGCACCCTGACATATGCAGACACACTCTACCACACACTAATCATAGCTTCTGTAGTGAATGACAAATCCGGCTGAAGCCAAAATGTTTATCACATCCTGTGATGGTCCCCTCTGTGTTTTTCCCCGTAGGTCCTCAACGCCCCCTCCGCCATCTGCCGCTATCTTGATGACAACAGCTGCTCCGCCCTCATCATCTTGGGCTTTGTGATGATGTCACCACTCGTGGTCATGGCTGCTGCAGTTTTCTGTGGGCTGCTCCAAAGATTTCACCTCCTGCTTCTCATTCAGCCCATCACGCGTGCCTGGTACCGTGGGCGGCTGCTGGACTGGGCAGGCAGCATCCATGCCTGGGTCTAATCATGACAGGACAGAGGTGCTGAGAGTCAGACATAAGAGTCAGGGCATGTTAGAGTCAACCAGAAAGGAACAATGGGCAGCAAAATTATCAGGAAGACCTTAAAATGAAACTCAGTTCAGTATAACAATACAGTTAAGAAAATTAACAATACAATATGATACAATATAATAACACTTTATTGTCAGATAAGATCTGAAGTTTGTCTTGTGACACCAGGCAGCACCAACGCAAAACCAAACAATCACAACAACACATAAACAATAACAGTAAACAGTAAACCACGTCTGTTAAAGCTAACAGTTTAGAAATAGTTTGACATTTTGGGAAATCCATGTATTTGCTTGGCAAGCGCTGGAAGTGAAGATTGATACCACTCTCGGCACAGTTAATGATAATGCACAAGCAGATGATAACGTTAGCTTGGCATAAAAAATGGAAATAGGTGAAAAAGCTAGCTTAGTTCTGTGCAAAGATCAAAAAGCCACGTACCAGCAACTCTAAAGTTAATAATTTAACATATTATATGCTACTTGTTCAATCTGCACATGCTTACATAAACAGAAATGTAACAATGCTAAGCTGGGACTGTGTCTTCACCAGGCCCACAATGACACTTGGGCTTTGGAACGAATTAAACCAACAAGATAAGTAATTAGATAATCAGTGAGCTTCAGAGAAGCTGGCAGCTGAATTTTGTTACTTTTGGACAGAGTCAAGCTGGAACCAGAGGAAAACAATTAAGCTATGCTACAGTAAGTGCATCTTGTCTCTAGCTTTATAATTATGTGGGAGTGGTATTGATCTTCTCATCTAACTAATAATCTCCCTTCCCAAAACATGGCACTGTTTTTTTATTCTCAAGGTTTGTAGTGTTGTTGAACTGGAAGTACATTTTGGGTCACATGGTGATTTGTTACAAGTTAAAATAAGCTTGTGCTAAAGTTTGTTGTAACAATTTCATTCTCAGTCTTATTTGGCTTTGAAGTAGAACAAGCTGTTGTTTTCTGTGATTCATAGATGTATGTTTATGTACTTTAACCTATCACACAGAACGCATCTTAGGACAGTCTGGAAGAAAATAACTATAGTATCTATAGAGGGAAAGTTAAAATATAAATGTAGGTTTTCAGACAAATAAAACTCAAGGATTTGTCATTTCCTTTTGAGCAGGTTGAACTAGTTCAATTTTGTCTATAAATCTATACTTTTGTGACTTTGTATTGCCTTTTTGCTAACTGGATTGACATGTGATGATTGTCTCTGAAGTGCATGTCCAACAGTTATTTATGATTACGCATTAGAAGTCTAGCAAAAAGTCAAAGCATAATTGCAAACATAAGATTTAGTGATCTGCTTTTGATTTATTTTGGTCCTGTGTGTGGCTCAGTTCCCTGGGACCCTCAAATGCTCCATCAACTCAGAAAAATGTTTGAACAAATGCATCTTATAAGGACTTCAGTATTGTTTGTGAGATGAATTAAATGGACAAATATGTTTGTCCTCGAACCACTTTACCTGATGTAGCATCATTATCCTTTCTTGTCTTGTGGGATGGAGGGAGTGTATCAAACATATTTCATTTTAAGTCAATCCTCTAGGTCACACTGTGCCATATAAATCACACCCTTCATTATGAAATCACATTTATAGTACCATAAAATAATGGCTGTTTAGTGGGAACCAACTGTTAAAAAGGGATTTGAATCATTAGACCAGGAGCTCATTTTGCTGCCTCTATGCTTTCAGGTCATTTAAATTCATCAGTGACACACGCACTCCTTTTTATCAGTGTGTCCTTGCTCTGTAATTAAGCGTTCAGATTTGAGGTTGCATTTCTCCAAAGAAAGCCTTGAATTACAATTTATGCGGGGCGGTTATTATGTGTCCTGTCCCAGTGTTGTCATATTGAAATCTGTCTCTTTTTATTTAAACTTATCTATTTGTGTGTTCTGACTGTGTCAGTTTATGTCATTCCTGTTATTGATCTTCCACTGTGTGTAAATCGTTCGCTTACCATAATTGATCCCTATTGGTTTCAGTGTATGAAAGAACTGTACAGAAAAAGGGGTGATGTATATTTTTCTTTTCGGTGTTATGAAAACAGCAATACATGTTCAGGCCTTGCATCAATAAAATGAAGACCTTATTTTTTCCTGTTTACTTTGTGTTGAGGTCTGCACATTAAGGTTTGATGATTAGAGCCTAGTCAGTGATGACTTAACAGTCTCTCATCATACACAGTGTACAGTAGCAAAATATAAGAACGTGTCTGTTTTGCTGGTCACAATTGTGCAGTACAAATGAGTAACTAAATATAGGAAAATGGTGCCTCGGATTACACTGGACCACCACTAACACGCTTACAGTGCTAGCATGTTGATATTTAGCAAGTATTCACCAGATTCACTATCTCAGCTTAACCTGTTAGCATGCTAACATTTGTTAATTAGCAGTAAACACAAAGTACAGCTAGTCTGACATGGTCTTAACTTAAAAATTCCACATATTCAAATTTTAACATGACAAGGTCACTGGGATTCACCTCAGTTCTTACAATTAGTTCTAAGGGGAATTAAGGCAATTAATGGACCAAAACACTAGACCACCGGACCAATCTTGACCTTTAAAAGGGTTCTTAAAAATTTAATTTTATATTTATCAAACAAAGATGTTGTATTATATTGGCATGATTTTGGTAATGGTAAAGAAATAGGTTTTGTATCTGCACTAAAATCTAAAACAAACAAGCAAACAATAAAAAGCAATAAGTTATAATATGAACAGTATGCAGCTCAACATCAGGCACAGCATGTATGTATACTAAAGAAACATAATGGCCAGTGTGCAGTAGGGGAAGGGGAAGTGAATGGGTTTTTCGGTGTGGCACACTGTTAAATGCCATTCCATAAAAAAAAAAAACAGAGAGATTGAAAGGTACAGATCAGTGAGTGGGTGGATCACAGGGTGAGATAGTTTGTGTTAAATGCCGTTTCCAAGGTCAGTCTTATCATACATGTTATCTCTGCAGTCTGAAAGACATTTCAAGCCATGTGTTGTGACACACAACAGATCTTTATCTGAATTGATATCTGAGATAGTTCAGTGACCATGGGCAGCTGGAGCAGATATCCTACAATTTGGTTATAGGATTTGCCATCCCAATGTGCAATATTTATGGTCAGTATAAGCTGTATTTGTCATGTCTCCTCACTGGGTGACTCACCAAACTTTGAAGTCATGATTACCGCAAAGTGGCTGAATATATGTGACTGAGCTTTATGCACATTTCTGAGGGAGACCAAAATGTATCTTTCAGCTAAAAAGGAAAATTGTGTTTTAAAGCAGGCCCATCACTTGTAAGTGTTCTCTGTTGTTAATGGTTGACAATTAGATGCAGACTATGGGCAGGAAAATTGCAGCAGGATGGACTAGACGATGAGCTCTGAAAGCCAGAAATTTTAGCAAATGGTAGAGCAGCGGGTCACTGCTGATGCCCTTACAACTGCATTGGAATAACACCCCTGAAAATATAATTACAGGTTATAAAATCCCCGTATTTTCTCTTAAAAATACTCCACATTTAAATTTCATTCATGTTGCCAGTTCATAATTACTCATTGGTTTGCACAACAAAAAACATTTTAAGAGTCGTTCAGTTATTCAGTATTTAAACCTTGGAGTATTTCCATGTCTTCCCTGTGCACAAGCACAAACACAAAACCTTTCTAGCTTCTATTTGAAACATCAGTACATTGATACATTTCTTATAACAGTTTTAGGACAAGTGTACTGTTAAAATGGAAATATTTAGTGTAGTTTGGGTGACAAAGCCATGAAAATTATGATCTCTGCTAACAGTACTGTGATGATGTACTTGGGCACAGCGATGCTTTGAGCTAAATGCTAATGTCTGTATGCTAACATAGTCACAGCGGAATCACAAAGTAGGCTACAGTAGAGGCTCATGGGAATGTAATTAGTTTTGCAGGTATTTTCCCATATCGGACAAAGTGAAGAGGAAGACCACAGTGATTGCAATTTATCTTGATGAGAATATGAAGTTTCATAGCAAACCATAAAATTTCACTCTCTACTAAAGTGGTCTGGTAAAAACTTTCAATTAATACCTTTACGACAACTTGAACCCATTAGTCAAGGGGTCCTTCATTCTGCTTTCACCAATCCCACACATTTTAACCAGAGCAGTGAAAGTGTGGGATTTTGCCGTTCTGTTTAAAGTGGACTTTGTAATGGATGCTTCTGTCCGCCTGAGACCCACTTTTAAAAAGGGTGTCTATTAGACAATAATTCAAACAGCCATATCCATGAGGAGAACGCTTGTAAAGTACTGACTGCATTGATTTTCAGCCAGGTAATTTTCAGCTGCCTCTAAAACAAAATGAAGCAAATATGTGCAGGTTATTCTTCTGGTTTTATGGTGATCCTGATAACCAGCAGCTGAGACATTCTTTTTATTCATCACTTTGGTCACAGTTGTAGTAAACACCGTCCTCTGGGTTTTGATTATTATTTTAATATATATTTTACACTGTATAGACCTTCACTGATTTGTCTCCATAACAACATGTTTTTTCAGGTATTTTCCATGGCAACCAAATTATGTTTGGGGCATGCTGATTATATAGAGTATCATTTGTAGCTTTGAAAGCAACAGTATGTATGTGTGCGTGCGCATGTCTTTATTACATTATGTGGACCAATTTTCTTTCTGTATCATCATCATGAGGACATTTTAGTCAGCCCTCACAACTTTAAAGTGCTTTTTGGAGGTTAAGACTTGGTTTCAGGGCTTAGATTAGAGTGCGGATTAAGGTTAGGCTTTTAACTGTGCCGGTTGATGTTAGGGTAAGAGGCTAGGGAATGCATTAAGGCAATGGGTGTTCTCACAGAGATAGAAGTACGAACATAAATGTGTTTGCTGTTGTTATCAAAGTATTTCAGCTTCCTGTGGCAAAGAGGACCAAGGCCATTAAGTAATAAAGATGCCACTGTGGACTGCAGGCTTACAAACAAGTGAGGAGCAGCTTTTTTATAACTTTGCCCCAGGCTACTCTGCCCAAAGACCACATCGCCTTTCGTAAACAATGCGCTGCAACAGTTTGTCCAAAAGTGTTACAATCGGACAGCGTTATGATTTTCATTGTTTTGATTCTGTATGCTCAGTGGGTTTGAAAAGCAATAATGACTCTCTGCTTTAAGGGTTTTCATATCTATACTGAGTGAAGGACTCAAAGGCACTTTTAAAAGAATGCAGAAGGATAATAATTCTGAATATACAAATAAAGCAGCCCAGGAGTTTTAATATGTATCCAAGTGAACCAATTGGAAAACCTAGCATTAGCTTGCTACTATATTGCATGACCCCGTATGTTTTGACTGAAGAGTTGGTGGTTGACACATCTGATCTTCATCAAAATGCTGTTTAATAATCACATAAATGGGGAACATTTTGAATTACGTATTGCAAAATATACCTCAAATTAATAATCACTGTACCACTAAGGTTCAACAATCAAATTATCAGCAACCAAAGTAGGTTTCCAAATTCAGTCCAAGACAAAGGAACACTGAGAACACACAGTAAAATTAAATAATCTTCATCTTCAGCACACAGCGGGATCAGCCAGTGATAATGTTGGCTGTGAGCAGTGTGTGTATTTAAGTAATGAGTTTGTTTGTGACCCTCCTCCCTGGTTTATTTTCTTATCAATAATGCTTCAACCTATAAACATTTGTTAGAACTAAACTATCATGATTTCTTTTTAAAGAAGGCTAAAGTAAAAACCATATTGCAAGTGGCTGCGAGATCTGTCTCTATTGCAGCAGGTGTATTGTGGTACGTGTGTTCAATGTGTATTAGTAGGTGGTGTCCTTGTTCAGTACTCTGCTGAAGGTGTTACTGTGATGTACTGTGTTTGTTTTTGTGACCACACTGTGTATACAGAACTGTATAATACAATTCTGTGTGTGTGTTTAATGAGTGCCCAAGCAAATAACTGCATTAGTACACAGATGTTCACTGGCAAAAAACAAGCAAGCAGATTCAGATTCCGTATCTTCTGCACTCATCCTGTGGCGGCCAACTGCTCGTGATAGAGCACAGAAATACAAGAAGATGATTAACAACAGGCAGAGAGGCACAGTGGCTACAGCAGGCTGTCGGAGGAGGTGACACGTCCAGGGCAGGATGGGAGCGGGGAGAGATGTGGTATCATGACCCTTTTGCCATACAGGGCTAATTTATACACATTCATCCAATTATCTGCTGCCATGTAGGAGGTTTAGAAATCCTCCAAGGTTCTGGAGGAGAAATGGGTGGTGTAAGGAGCTGGAGACAGTAGTATTGAAGCTGAACTGACCAGCCAGCCCCTATTATTAACAAGACAGGAAGATGCAATGTTTCTAGCAGTAGCAGGTTGTAGATAGCAACAAGGATTTATGTGCTCGAGGTAGTGATGTTAGTGATAAACAAAAAGAAGAAAGATAAAATTCTAATTCATTATATGGCGCTCCACTTTTCACAGCTTTGGAATTTGTGCAGTGTTTCAATTTGTTCAGAGCTAAAAGGAATGCACTGGCTTCAGAAAGTATACAGACACTGCCACATTGCAGATTTAATTTTAAATGGATAAAACATTTTTGCCCAACTCAGTAACTGATAGCAACAAAGTGAAAACACATCGTTGCATTAGTTTTAATTAAATTAAACTTTTACTTATTTATTTACTTATTTAAAACTGAAATCTCCTATTTACAAAAATATTCAGAGCCCAATTCAATACTTTATCAATGTTCCTTTGGCAGCAATAAGAGCTTCCAGTCTTCTTGGGTGAATCTCTGCAAGCTTTGCATATTTGAATTTGTGCAGTTTAGCTCGTTCTTCCTGGCAGATCCTGTCAAGCTCCATGAGATTGGATAGGAAGCAGCTGTGAATCTTCTTCAAACATGTTCTGGTTGGAGCATTATCTATAGGTGCTTCTTTTATTATAAAGGTTTTGTGATCATTGTTGATTTTGATTTTGTAATTTAGTTTTGCTGTGACCAGCTTACTACTAACCAAGCTTGTCATTATACTTGTCTGCATAGCCTGGCACCCTGACATCACCATGAGGTTGCCATTTTTGG